CCCCCCCCCCCCCTCTCTCCCTTCACCCGATCGACAGGGGAAAGGTGGCACAAATCAGTAAGCTTCGCGAAGATCACGCCATCGACGATGACGTCAACCTACGCTCTGATTCGATGGGCAGCGGCGAGCCGGGGTGCAGAGCACACGAAGAATCAACAGATGATGATGGCGTCACCTGGACGACCTCCGACGATTCCAGCAGCACGGGCCAGCAGTCTCACGAAGAGATTGCAATTGAAGTTGGCGTCAACATGGACTCTGGCTCGATTATCTATTGATACGCTTGGTTCCTCATGCATCACTCTCCCCTCTCTTCCCTTCTTCGCCATAGCATGCAATCAGGAGATCACACAATTTTGGAACCGCCTGCGCGTCACATATGTGACGAACTACTTCCCGAACCCGTGCTATCTTTCGTACCCTTTTTGCTTGAATTTTCCCTGTACCATACCAACCCCATAAAAACCCCGTTTCGTTTCGGGCGCCGTATTTTTGGCCCTTTTCTCTTGGAAGCTTTTTGCGATTCTTGAGTTCTGCTTTTTCTTTTTGCAATTCGGGAAATGCATGGGAATTTACGTGCGCCTTAGCGAGCGCGCTGGGAATTGGGCCCGGCAGTTGGGAATTCCGGGACAAGCGGAACGTCGACGTGTCCTTTTTGTGTGTGAATGTTCTTGGTCGCGTCGGGGAAAACTCTCGGAATTTTGTGGGGATACGAATAGGCGTAGGACTTTCTTTTCCCGCGTCGTCCTTTCGCGCGCAGATATGGTGATTTCAGTTTTGAATTGGTCTCAGACATAGGCAAGCCGTAACTGTTTCGGTGCCTTTTCTCCTTTTTTTGTTGACGACGCCGCGCATGCAAAACTTTGTCCTCTCTGTCCCCCACATCGCTCTCTCCCACGCTCCTTTTTCCTTCCCCCTCCTCTTTCTCTCTCCTCGTAATTGTTTTTCTCCCTCTCTCTCTCTCTCCCCCTCTGTTCTTTGCGCGCTCATTTCCCTTTCTTGATCGTCTGAATTTTGGACCCGCCTTGCGCTACTTCTCGCGCCTTTTCTTTTCTCGCCCTTCGAGCAAAGTTTGCGAAGTCCGATCGATCCTTCGATTACTCTCGCCCACCAATCAGACGCATGGTACGGTAGGATCTGCCTATTGCGCGACGAGTCTGATTGGCCAATCGCCGAGTTCCGAAGGATCAACATGGCTTCTATAGCGCGCTTCTCTCCAAGTCTTCTCCTCCTGCTTCTCTTCTTACACTTCGACTTTCCCCCTGCATTCTCTCTCCCTTGTCTCCTTCCTCGCCA